CGGTTAGTTTCTCAAAAGAGGGTATTTGTGAAGATTTGTGTGTACATTGGCTCATTTACTTTTTTGAGACAGGGTCTCATGTAATCCAGGCTGGCTTCAAACTCTCTGAATAGCTAATGGTGACACTCAACTTCTGATCCTCCTGCCTTCGCCTCTTAAGTACTGGGATTATAGGCATGTACCACTATGCCTTGTTTACATGGTGCAGCAAATCAAACTCAGGACCTCATGCATGTCAGGCCAGGTCTCTACCAACTAAGCTGAGGCCCCAGCCCTTCAAGCATCTTAGTTAGCAAGAGCCAAGCCTTGGTTGTTAGCTCCATTCCTACTGTTCTCTAAGGCAACTCACTTGTGTTTAAAGGTTTCAATTACAGGGGATGTTAAATCAAAATCCGAATCTTAGCTATCTTAAAAATGTCCCCAATTCTGCACTTCAGAGGCATGGCATAGAGATCAGAATGGTAGTGCACACTTGTAATCTCATCACTTGAGTAATGGAGGCACAAGCATAAAGAGATTGAGGTCATTTTCAACTATATAGCAAGTTCAAGGCCATCCTGAGCTACATAAGAGGGAGGGAGGAGTGGGGGTTACAATATAAATCAACTACCCAAGAGTCCTCTTGAATCAGGTATGCTAAGAACATATTGCTATGCTGTGTTCATTTCTAGGTCATACATGTGCTGTTATGCACTCAGTTTCCCAGATACCCTAGGATTCTCCTCTAAGTCAGTTCCAGATGGGAACTGGCAGATGCTCTCTGTAAATATGTCCACAGAACTGCCCAAAGCATTCTTGGTAGAGTCTAACTAGTTCCAAAGCACTTTCCCATTTTCTGGTTCAATTCTGCTCCTCTCCCATCACTACACATGCCACCTCAACAGTCATAGACAGCCCAGGTTCCAATTCTGTTTCTTCCACTTTCTAGCTATGAGCTTTTAGGCAAACTACTAAATGACCTTTTGTCTTAGTGTTTTCATTTGTATAAAAAGGAGTGTGCCCTGAATCTGGGTCATGGTTTTGGCACAAGAATTAAATGAGTTGGTAAGTTAAAAATATTTATGAATGTATACGGCACCTGAAAATGTTATGGAAGCATTAATGTAGTATGAGAGTCCCATAAACTACTTGGGACCACAAGTGTTTCAGGTTTCTTTGGTAATTTGGAACATCTGCATATGTATATTGAGATATCTTTTGAGATGAGATACGGATCTAAAGACAAAGTTTATGTATGTTTCATATATACTTTATATGCGTAGCCTAAAAGTTACTTTATTTTGTTTGTTTTTCAAGACAGGGTTTCTCTGTGTAGCCCTGACTGTCCTAGAATGCACTCTGTATACCAGGCTGGCCTGGAACTCAGAGAAATGTGTGCACCACCACTGTCCGGCTGGCAATTTTAAACCATATTTGTAGTACTTCTGCTTTTACTACAACCCATACCACAAGGTCATCGGTGGAATTCCCCACTGTGGAATAATATGCATAGTTAGTTCACCTGGAAGAGATATTGCCATACTTATTGTCATTGTGATCTGTACATACACCATCAAGGTGCTCATTCCAGGACACTCCCAATGGTGTCATGTTGGTTTCACCAGCACTGCTGTCTATAGACCACCACTGAGGGCAGCAACCAGTACTAAACTCTCTGGGGCCTCTGTTGCTGACCATATCCCCATCATGTCCCAGAGAGTTATCTGTCATGAGCCAGGCACTGTCTTAGGAAGCATTGAGGATATGAATGGAAATAACACGTGGTCTTTGCCCTCACCAGGGTCCCAGAAAAAAGAAATCAAATGATGAAGTAGAGAGTTAATTCCTGGGAGATTTATGCACTGAAACCACAAAAAGTACTGAGTTTTGTATCATGATTTCCCATTTAATGTTTATAAGTACTCTAACATGGCCAGAAACCAGAGAAACACTTGGCACCTTCGTAAAGCTGACATTATTTAATAGTAAGGCCCCCTTTCATGCCTTCAAGGTACATGGTGGCTCTTGACTTGCCCATCTTTCTCAAGAGGTATTCGTTAAATTTACCAACTTGGTGGCATTTTATTTGTAAACAGATTTACTACTTGTTCAGTCATGACTCCCATCCTAGTGTCTGTTCGTCAAGGAAATATAAACTGCATTGGAGAATCCTTCATGACCATGAGAATAGAGATGGTCAAACCTGGTCACCCACGAAAAGGCACTTAGTGCCTCAGAGCAGCGGAAAGCTCAGCACCAGTGGTGGAGCATCCTCAGATCCAGGCTCTGGATGCTGTTGTTCTGGTTTGTTTCTAAGACATGATCTCACACATTAGCTAGGCTGGCTTGATGTGGTCAGCTCCTTCATAAACAGTAATCTGCACAAAGGCTGTCTTGCCAGCCAGCATCCGATAATCCCTGGATCCTGAGCTGCTGGAGAACTCTCAGAAGCACAAGGGAGCAAAGCCAGATGCAATCCTGTCCTTACAGTTCCAAATCTGTCACCTTCTGAAATCCCTATTGCCTTTGTCACGTATGAACCCTGTAATGTAAAAGCCCCCTCTAGCAGTCAGTACATACAAGAAGAACTTTGTGTTTACTCATTTTTTACTTAATCAGACACAATCTTTCCATCAGGTTTTGAGCTCATGAGAGTACTGGTGTTTCCTTCCTCGCACAGGAATCTTAAAGATAGATAGATGGTAAAGTCCCCCTTTTAAAAACAACAAACCACCTCAGATCCAGGCCGATGTCTTGGGGAATCCTGGTCATGAGCCACTACTTGAAATATTCAGGTTCACAATCCTGCCGAAACCTTTGTGGGTTTCCAGATCTCAGTGGTTGCCTGGCAAGTGGAACAAGCCATTTGCTTGAGCATCGAGTTGTCCCTCAGCCTGGCCTCTCTGCCTAGAAAGCGCCATTTTCATAAAGAGCTGTCATGCTCTGAGTCCTTTGGCTTGTGATTTAGCTGTTCAGGGAAAGTGCAGGCTGCTGTTGCTCGCTCAGTGCTGGTGATGTGTGTTTTTTGTTTTATTAAATCTTTAAAATACCGGGCTTGTTTTTTACGATCTCCATATATTCTTTTGTTCTTCTCCATGACTGGTTAGATCACACTTTTGCTCCCTTAGTAAAAATATTAGTGCCTTTCTGAAGAACACTGTGGTCTCCAGAGTGGCTGTCTAATAAAGTAGAGAAATGTGTGGAGCTTGCTATCAGATGCACGGAGGCCTTAGTGCGGGTACATTACAGTGGATGGTTTAGGGCCTACCGCGAGGTCTACAGGGATGCATGTCTTTTGGCTCTTACCAGATTTGCCTTGATAACTCTGGCATCATTTGGCACAAATCTCAGAACTTTTTATGAAGCAAAGCTTCTAAGTGGCTTATGTTTACATTATGGACTGTGTGCATGTGTGTATGAGAGTGAGAGAGAGAGAGAGAGAGAGAGAGAGAGAGAGAGAGAGAGAGAGAGAGAGAGAGAGAGAGAGATTAAAGATTGCTAACAAAAAAATCTGTTAAGTGGAAGCCAGCTCTTGTCCAGGTATGAGCTTGGATGTTCAAGTCCTGGCGCTCATATCCAATGCACAGAGAACCTAATAATTCTAACTCAGAGTTGGAGATGCTGAGGAATAAGAGAGCATCCCCACGTACCCTAACATTTCACAAGACCCAGTTCATAAGATTGTCCCTACACAGAGGAGACTCAAAAAGGCTAAATTAATCTTGAATAGAACTGGGCTAACCCAGCCCATGGCATCCAACTGAACTTGTTCCTGTGTTATAATGTCTCTCAGCCCACTCTGTACTGTTAGTTTTGGCAAGTACGCCACAGCAGATAATAAATCATGGAAGGAAAAAGCTGTTGGCCAAGCATGGTTCAGCCTGCTGTGATATTAGAATACAGAAAGCAGTTCTGTTTTTACACATCCTTTCACTAACCCAGCATTCATAATTTATGATGGCGCTGTAAAATTCCTGCAACACTACACCAAAAGTAGTCCTGCCCTTTAATTAAGTTCTCTTGGTAGAGAAAATGTGAAGTTGATGTGCAAACCGTCTCTCTGTGCCCAGTGATTGATAGTGATTACATCTTTATGAACCCAGCCTAAAGGTCTCAACTTCCTGATGGGTGAAGTCGTCTGTAGGCCACTTCCTGGCTGGGATCAGTGGCTGCTAACAAAACTGAAGATAACTCGGAGAGCATAACTTAGGCATGTTGGTTTTTTAAGCCTCCATCTATCTGTCCATACTTGGTCACAAGTCTCTATGACTATCCCTAGTGTCTGTGGGAGCCTACAGTCAGATTCTACACTGTGTCCATGTGCAGGTTGTGGTGAAGAGAATGGAGCGTTGGGTGGAGGCCTCCTCAAGGCATCCTAGTTTGATATGAAGATTTTTTTAAGTTAAAAATAATGAAAAATAGGAGATACTTATGGCCACAGTGGTCCTTGAATTAAACGGGATAGCCAGGGAGAACCTTAATCTGTCCCATCATTAAGTTATTTTTCAAATGTTTTTTGAGGCAGTGTTCTGCTATGCAGCCCAGATTGGCTTCAAGCTGATGATCCTCCTGCCTCCACCTCCTGAGTGCTGTGATAACGAATATGCACCACTATGTCCAGTTGTTCAAACATTCTTTTCCTTCCTTTGATTTTTAAAATAGTACCAGGAAATATTAGAAGGCCAGCCTCCCTAAGCCAGGTGTTCCCAGCTCCTCACTGATTCCACTTTGTGGTAGCCTTCCTCAACTGAGCAGTGACTGCCTCAGCTCACACCCACGGCCCTTTATTGAAAGATGTTATGGGGAATCTAGATCTACTGGGCTCCAGGAAAGCAAACAGATCTGTCTGGTAGCAACAGTTGTATTAAGTGAACACTTAAGTTTGGACTTAGCTGCCTACCATCATCACAATTGTGACCAAAAGCAAGCTGGTGTAATCATACTCACTTAGCTGTCTTTTCTCTATGTCTCCAAGATGTCTGTTTTCTGGATGTGCATGACATTTTCTGATGTTTTTGCAGGTTTGGACCCGGTTTGGTAATCTATTGGTATGGATTTATCCAGGAACTGGACTGTAACCGGGAAAGGGGCATCCTGCTCAAAGCCTGTTTCCCCACAGACATTGTCACCTTATGCCATAGCACAGCTTGACCCTGAAGATCCTGGAAGAGAAGCCGGAAGCAATGTTACTTTCCTGCAGTATAAACTTCTGGCAACATCTGCCCTGAACTTCAGCTGAACCCTGGCTGCTGCAGTCGCAGCCCTACCTCTCTAGACAAACATATCAGGAGTTTCTGCTTTCCTTCATCCCTTGCTGATGTGAATAGCCAAGAACTCCGGACACAACCCACTCATTATCAGCATCTCTGTCTCTGACACAGTTTATAGATAGCCATAATCTTGCTTCCTTCCCAAGGCTTTTCCTTGTACACTGAACAGAAGGAGAGGTGTGGGGACTGAAAGGTGGGATGTTTCAATTCTCCTCCCTGTTATCGAATCACTGCCTTGTTTTTTCTTCTAAACCTCCATTCATAGTCTCTCCCTCTCCCTCTCCCTCTCCCTCTGCCTCTCCCTCTCCCTCTCCATCTCCCTCTCCCTCTCCATCTCCCTCTCCATCTCCCTCTTCCTCTCCATGGAACTAAGTGTTGCATTAATATCAGGGAATGACCTAGCACAAACCTAGAAAAGCTGGAGACAGGAAGTATGTATTCCTTCTCACCTGGGGCTCAGCATGGCTAGACAGGGACTTTATCTGTCAAGCCTTATGGCCTCCTGACTTGCGTGGCATCCAGCCAAGCTGCAAAAATCCCCCTTGATGAGAATTTCCTCTTTTCATAAAGCTTATTTGAACACCAAACATTTCACATTGATCTCACCTTAAAATATGAATTCTTTGTGTTTGGCAACCATGATGCTTTGGTTTGGGACTAAGGCAGAAGACTGACGTTCAGCCTCCCTGTCTATAGTGGCCCTTTAAACATGACTGCCGGCCTCTACAATGTTAGCCACTATTTTTATGAGATTTTTTTAAGTGCATTCATACATACTGCTTTGTGTCTGCATTTCATACCAAATAATTGAATAACACTCAAATAATTTAGACATTATAAATAGTCAGCTTTGAATGAATTAAGTGTACCAGAAAAATCCTAGAGCAATTTTTAAATAAGCAAAATAAAAGAGATTTTGTATTTATTCACTTTAATTTATTCACTTTTATATCCTGCAGACCAGACTTCAATCAGAAGCAAAATATCAATAAAATAATTATAAACCTATCTTTTGGGAAATTAAAAAGTAATATGCAACTCCCATCCCCCAAGAAAAAGTACTTAGTAAAAACTATGTGCCCCAGTGCTTGTAAAATGTCGCTTTTAAAATGTTAAATAGATGGTTTTTAGAAGTAAAAATAAGACATACACATTGGTGGGTTCCTTTTGTGCCTGGTCCGTGAAAAACTTGCAGTAGGTCCAAGATAGGATGTTAAGGTCTCCTGGGAGACTGCAGTAAATCACAGGGGAGAAGGCAGAGAGGAAAGGAAACATCAGGCAGGGTCTGTGTATGAAATAGATGATTTGAGACCACTATTATATTGCCTTTATACATATGCTTTAAAAAATACTAAAATCTGGTTTTATGACATGTCCTAAGCCACTGGTTTTGTTTGTTTTGTTTTTTGGTTGTGGGGGGGGTAAATTACATGTATCTGCACAGATATTAAATATCCTGCTAAGCCTTCATCAGCTTGTTTTAACATTAGCCTAATTTATGATGGGTATGCACAAATAAATTTTGAAAGCTCAAAAAGTGCTTGTGTTTTATGTTTATTCTACCTAGAGCTCTGACATAATGTGTTGTGAGAAGGTTCTGGTAGTCACAACAGAGACACCACCTTGTGTTTATGAGTGAAGCTTCCCAGGTTGACCCCTCAAAGCAAGAAAGAACCCAACAGTAAATTACATACTGTGGTAAGGTTATGAGTTGCTCAGTGTGATCCTTGTGTCTGCTGTGTTTGAAGTAGAAATGTGTGGAAAAGAAAGAGTTTTGCTCCCAGGTGAGAAGCTAAAAACCTCTTTGTCGTTTCTTTCATCTTAAAAATGCTTATCTGGGGACTGGAGAGATGTTCAGCAGTTAGGAGCATTTGCTTCTCTTACAGAGGACCCAGGTTCAATCCCAGCACCCATGAGGCAGCTCACAACTGTAATCCAGTTCCAGGAGATCTAATGGCCTCCATGGGCACCAGTCATGTACATGGTACACAAACATACATGAAGGCAAAACACTCATACACATAAAATTTAAAAAATCTTTAAAAATACTAACCTGTACAACATTCTTATATGTTGTTTACTTGCTTATTTTCTTTAGCGTAGGCAATCCAAACTTCAGCCCCAGGACAGCAGTCATGGGATAACTTACTTTTATGGCTGTCATCATTAGAACATTAATATTAAAGCCAAATCTTTAATATTTTTGTGGGCCATTTTGCACACTGTGCTGATGTACTGTGCCAAAATCAGGATGCAGGAATATGAATAAAACATAACTCTGAATAGTGCTCTGTCTACCACAGAGACTTGTCACACAACTGCATCCACAACACAACGGACCCCTCTGAAGAGAAGAGGACAGACTCAGAGCAAAACAGATCCACCTGACAATCAAAGGTGACTGTGTAGATGCCTCCCTATCCTTCTCTTCCCCTTCATAAAGCACACAAGCAGTGGAGACTCTTACCTTCTAGTGAGGTGTGCAAAAACTTCACACATGACAGGAGGTTCAGAGTTCTGAAGTCCACCTCTAGGAAAAGTATTAACTTTACATGTGAGTGTGTACCTGCTCATCACCGACAAGGCTTGATGGCACTCTGGAAAAGATGATTATTGGTCTTTGGGGATTGCATTAACTCATGAGAGCCACCAGGGAGGAGACTGCTTAGAGCTCTGATGAGGTAACCTAAATAGTCCCCTGGCTGACTACACTAATTAACACACAGCACCAAAGTGAACAGTTAGTTTTTGCTCTGCTCTCCCTGGAGAGCTGCACCCATTGTTTACTTTCTGCACTGGAACCAAGATACCCGATGTTTGCTCTTTTGGACCTGCTGCAGGCTGGGAGTTTCAGTAAATGAAATCTACAGAATTGTGTGTTTCTTCCTTTCCTGCTTCCTCCTGGTCATCTTCCCTTTCATTAGCCTTCTTGAGTTTCCTTCCTCGTGGATATGCCTTCCTACCCATCTCTTTTTTCTTTGTAGACAATGAGTGATACCTGAAGCAAGATATATCCCTCTAAATCCTTGGGAAGTAGGCACTGACCCAATCTTTTCTAATAACACAAAATTCATGCACTTCACAGGCCAAAACACCAGAATGCATGTTACCAGCACCTGGAGATCCTACCACATTTAACTAAAATGATGATACTTTGTATCTCGGATGATATTTATGTCTTTTTTTTTTTCAGAGACAGGGTTTCTCTGTGGCTTTGGAGGCTGTCCTAGAACTAGCTCTTGTAGACCAGCTGGTCTTGAACTCACAGAGATCTGCCTGCCTCTGCCTCCCGAGTGCTGGGATTAAATACATACACCACCACTGCCCAGCGAGAGTTATGTCTTAGGTAAATTTTTTGGCAAAAGGATCCATTACCTTGCTGGACAAGGTAATGAGCGTCATTAGTCCCTACAATTGGGACAGTTGGGAGACAGGCAGGTAGATATCTATGAATTCAAAACCAAAAGGTGGTTTACATAGTAATTTCCAGACCAGCCAGTGCTACAGTGTAAGCTTCTGTCTCAAAAAAAAAAAAAAAAGGAAACCCAGACATGGGAGGTTTTATAGTGAGCTTCAGCCCCCACATGATTATGTTCAGCCAATCATAGTTGTGAATTAAAATAGTAAAATTTCTCTCTGGCTTATGAGTCATAACACTCGATTATTGTGGGGCAGCTTGCCATTACTGCTGTCCCTGAGAGGACACTGCTTCATAGAATAGCTGTTTGATGACAAGAATGGGAGGAGACATCCAGGGGCACATTCTTGACTAGGGTTAAGGAACAAAGTAAGGGGAAATTTACCAAGCAAACAATGGGAGTGTGCCCTCCATGTCACCACTGGGCAACAAGCACAAGCTACCCATCTCAACCTGAAGCGCTCTTGGGTTAAAGAAAGGTCATGCGTGACATAGTTGAGCCCATCTAACCATCTTCCTGACCCTCCTATCGGTAGGAAACCCAATCTGAAGCTGTTTTATGAAGAGCATGCCTGATTCTAAAGGTTAAATGAGGAAGATGGGATTATGAATTAAATAATAACCAGAAGAGCCTGGGTTCCCCTTGTGTTTTGTGCTTTCCTGCTATTGTTTGAAATATGGCTGTGAGACAAAGAACCGCTTAGGTCGAGCACTATAAATTACAGTTTTCATACAATAGTCATCCACTAAAATGATTTCAAAGCTTGATCAAAGTAATTCCAAAGAGCCTTTTAAAACTTTTCTACAATACATGGGGGGCAGGAAGTGCTCATTTGGTGCCTTGATTTGCTTCAGTCAGTGTAGCAGAGTTCAATCTTGGTGCCATGCCTACTTTATATAAAACCCAAATCATTGATCAAAGTACAACTTGTGTTTGGTGCTTTTTGTGTGAGGACAAAGTTTGCAGGTTTTTTTGTTTGTTTTGTTTTGTTTGAGTCTTTTTATCTAGTTACCTACAACAACTGAACACTTGGAGTCACCTGTAAAGAAAAATACATAGAATTGATTTTTTTTTACATGAACATAGCTCGACCGTGCTTATGTCCCCAAAGTATTTGATAAACCATATCTACTCCCTACAGTTAGGGTGATGTCAGCAAGGCTTACTTTGTTGTTTCAATAAGGCAACGGTATGTTTATTTTTCATTCTCCCCCCCACTCACTTGGATTTCTTCCGAGCAGTGTTGTGTCACAGGCAGGAATGACGAAAACTAGGCTAGTGGAAGCAAAGCAGAGAGTCCTCAGTTTAACCACGTATTCAGTGAGGGTGGAGGAAGGCAGCCATGGCAGGTGCAACTGGTGACCCACGCTTTTGTAAAGGAAGATCACTTTGAAATGCCAGCATGAAATATAACCACGTCAATTAAGTAATAGCAGTTGAAGTTCAACATTTAATTGGGGGCCAAACATGAAGCCAGTGACTGTTAACCCAAAAAGGCCATTAATTCTCCTAGAAACTGCTGTTGTTTAAAGGTATTTCTAGAATACCTGGCACTGATCCTTTTGGGGGGAGGAAGCTCTGTTAGTTTTCACATCCAACATAAGTTCCTTCAGAAGTAATTCAGTATGTCTGTGTAGACTTTCTAGGGTTTTTTTTCTTTTTTATTAAAATTGGTTTTGGTAAGCATCAAAACCCAGTCAAAACTACCTCTTTACAGGAAACCATAGTTCTTTTTTAAGAACTGAAAAATGAACATGATTTGTGTGCTTAGTAAATATCTTAAGAGTCACATTACTTGCTGTTTGTTTAATAAAAATTTTCCAGTTACATTATTATCTTCATGGAGGCAGAAATCACATCTATTTTGTTGAGTTCTTTATGCTCCTGGTCCTATCAAAATTCCCAGTACAGAGAGCTGTTCCTTAAGTGTTATATGAAGAAATGACTGCTAAATTTATATTGAATGTGTCCTTACTTTCATTACACAAATAATTGGAGATATTTCTCTTTTTTTCAGCTAAAAAATAAGTATAGGAATCAGAAAAGCAACAAACAAGTGGATGTTAAAGAATTAATTGCTTTAAACTTCTCAAAAATCTCAAAGCAAATTTATGAAGAATATTTTTTGAGACATGCTCAGTTTATGGGGAATTCATTATGATTTTGTTGCATTTGACATAAAAGTAGCCTAAGAGCACTGATTTTATCCACTGAATTGTTAAATGAGCATATCAAAAATCTCATTTTTCTTTTAAAGATAGACTTACCTTTATATTTTTAATTCTATTATTTTTAATAATTTCCCTTAATGTCCTATTGGGTTTCCAAACCCAAGTGTTTCACACACATGACTGGGGCTATTTTGGGGTGTTGTTAGGGTCCCTATAACTGGCACTTTTCATTGCTTCCAATTGTAATGCCTGGTTAATGGCAAAATGCTTCCAGGCCATGAAAGTGGTTGACTGGTCCTTTGTCTGTAGGATCTGACCTTTGAAGAGATGCCATCCACAGCATTCTATTTCCTCTTGTTCTGGAAACTTGTAGCACCTATTTTCCAAGGTTTCCATGAACATCTGGAGATATCTGACCCACAGTACAGGTACCATTGAGACCTGCCCATCTTATTAGATAGTATTAATATATTTTTAGCACTAAGCCTGTTTAAAACACAAATACTTACCAGGTCTCCATTGAAGTCTTTGAAGTACTCTTGGGAACTTTTTTAATATAATTTTTTTTAAAGCCCTTCTTGAAAAAAATAGTTACTTGTCAAAATGGAAACAACGCAAATGACATTATTTACAATGAATTGAAACACAACAATAAAATATAAAAGGGTTACAGGTAGGGCTCAGTGGTTAGAGTACTTATCTAGCACACCTGAAACCTATTCCTCAGCATTGCATAAACCAAGCGTGGTGGTACATGCCTACAAACCCAGCCTTTAGGAGCTAGAGAAATTCAAAGTCATCCTTGGCTACATAGAGAGTTTGAGGCCATCCTTCAATACTCTAATCAATAAATAATATTATTAAACAACAAAACAGTGCCAGAAGTGGCCCCATGAATGTAAGACCATTGTATTCACCGAAGAGTGGGTCATTGACTAATTGTATTC